GGGGGGGGGCTGTGTGGGAGGAGGCAGCCGTGGAGAGGGTGACTCAGCCGCTGCATTGAAATTCAGATCAGGGTTCTGCCTTCTATTCAAGGATCCAGGGAGGCAGGACCGTAAGTTGTTTACTGGAGTCAAGAGAGCTCGTTTCAGTTCTCTGTGATGCCTGAACAGAACTGTGAGAACAGTTTTCAGGCGGCAGCCATTTTGGTTTGCAGTAAAAACGGTAACACCTTAAGAGACCCACCCGAGTTTTCGGGTAGGCGCTTCCACGAGTCAAACCTTCCTTTATCTGACCTGACCGAGGAAAATACGACTTTACAAAGGGAGTTATGAAAATGCGGAATTCGCTGCCGGAGGATGTCGTGATGGCCACGGGACTAAACAGCTGTACGAGGGGATTAGACAGATGCTCAGGGGATGTCTGTCAATGGCTGCTAGCGATGGTGGCTGAGGGAAACCTCCATGTTCAGAAGCAGTCAACCTCTAAATCACAGTGCCAGGAGACAACTTCAGGGAAAAGCCTCGGCCTCTCTGCCCTGTTGTTGTTGGCCCTCCAGAGGAACTGGCTGGCCCCTGTGTGAGACGGGATGCTGGACTGGATGGACCCTCCCTGGTCTGACCCAGCAGGGCTCTTCTGAGGTTCTCATCAGAGGAAGGCCTCGGCCTCCATGCCCTGTTGTTGGCCCTCCAGAGGAACTGGCTGGCCCCTGTGTGAGGCAGGAGGCTGGACTGGATGGACCCTCACTGGTCTGACCCAGCAGGGCTCTTCTGAGGTTCTTATCAGGGGAAGGCCTCGGCCTCTCTGCCCTGCGGTTGTCCCTCCAGAGGAACTCGTTGGCCACTGTGTGAGACGGGATGCTGGACTAGACGGACCCTCCCTGGTCTGATCCAGCAGGGCTCTTCTGAGGTTCCTATCAGGGGAAGGCCTTGGCCTCTCTGCCCACTTGCTGGCCCTCCAGAGGAACTGGCAGGCCACCGTGTGACAAACGCTATTAAATATCTCAAATAATGTTTATATATTTTTGTTTCATATTTTTACAATTTATTCACCATATATTATGTATCATATAAGCCTTAATACATAGAAAGAATCATATATCAAAATATCTAAGTATCATCTCTTAATAGATCACAAAAGATATTGCACACCCCTTTATTGATATCAGTCCTCCTTAATTATACAAAAGTTTTAAGAGGGAGGACTCCTTTAAGTCTATTTTGAATCAGTGCTCCGTCTTCCTCCACCAGAGGTCCAGCTATCCTCCTGTTTCAGTGCCTTCCTCAGGAAGTTCAACAGATATTTCCAAGCACAAGGTTGCAAAATAGCAAAATATTTCTCCACATTTTTCAATGAACACTGCAAAAAGTCTCTCTTAGTGAGCTCAAAGCTTCCTCCAAAGTGAAAAGTCCACCCTCCGAGGCAGCCATTTTCTCCGGGGGAAATTATCTTGGACATCCGGAGATC